TTAGGGAACTTTTTATACAATTATATGTCTGTATTTATTTAAACAACTTTTTAACAATCATACAGATTTAATAGGCTTATTTTTTGAAAAATTCAGTTTTTTCTTCTCCCTGACAGTTGGCCATTGTTCCAGCTTGTGTTCAGGTGATAAAACACCATACACATACATAGTACATGTATATAGTAAAAGGGCTTTTACACATACTATTTACCAGGATGTTTACTTGTAACAGAGTCTTTTTACATTGTGGTATTTATGTTTATTTAAAAGAGTAAAAGAGTTTCAACCATGAAATCAGAAATGTTCTGTATGAAATTCTTCACGGGGCCAAATGGAGCCTCTGCTCGCTGCAGCCGGTTCCAAGAAACAGATATTTCTGATATCTGTAACTTTTCAGAGAAAAACTCAGAGACCCTTCAAAATACACAAAGTGATCTAAAAACATGTTTTTTTTTACTCAAAGTTAACTATTGTTGTATCTGCATGTCAGCTGGTCTGATCAGAGTCATTGTTCCCTGTGCAGTTGTGGAAATGAACCAAATACAGTTAATCAAGTATTTAAGATGTAATATTTGGAGGAACTTGTAATTAACTTATAATATAACGTATTTCTATGTTCTGCTGCTGTTTACTTTATCTCTACTTTACTTTTACTCTACACTGCGTTACATTCATCTGACAGGTTTAATCGCTAGTTTTCTTAATTTATTCAAATCAATGAATCTTTGTGTAACATCCTTTGGATTATATCGTGCACAGTACAAATATCATCATGTGTCATCACTGCTAACTTACACAGTCCCTGAACAGCTCTTCATTTACTACGTTTATCTTTTTATATTTGTGCATATTGTCTCTATTTTAACATATATATATCAATATTCACAGGAAATAATCTGTATAATCTAATCAGTGTTTGGTTTGTGTTCTGGGCTACTGTAGAAACATCACTCCGCCATAAGAAGACCTCTGTAGAAAAAAATGTCTCATTCTAAGGTAATAAAAACATAATTCTTATATTCAGGTGATTAAACACTAATGAAAACACTTATGAACATTATATTATATTTATTGTTCTCCAATAGATCCTCATGAATGTTACAAACTGGAAACTTTAATTCAGATTTAAGCATTTTAGGTGGAAGTTTAAAAATCAATAAAGACTCAACATAGTGCAAATATAAAGAGGCACTTCTTTAAAATCAGACATCAACATCTGGAGTCACACACACACACACACAGAGAGAGAGAGAGACTCATCTGCTGCAACAGGAGCTTACAAAGGGCACCTGAAGGCATCACGTCATTCACGTCATTCTCGGAAAAAAACATTTCGAGTTGTTTTTGAGGGAGAAAAGAAACATGAAATCAAATCTCTCACACAAGCATGTGTGTAATTTCTCTGCCATGCGGTTGTGAAATCTGTTTCCAGGAAGGAGGCAGAGAACAAAACACAACAGAAAAAAAACCTGCACTTGGTCCAACACAGTCCGCAACACTTGGTGGAGTTTGTCCAGAGACTCAGCTCATATAAGAGAATAAACAACCAAATAACAGCGACATGGAAAAGGTGATTCAGCCCAACACAAGCTGTCACATGTGAGTTTTAAAGGAGGGGACATGTGAGGGAGCCCTGGGAGGAGTTTAAAGTTACTCACTCCAGCTGCACTCCACCTCACTGATCCGGCTGCAGACGCAGGAGAGTCTGACAGCATGAAAACACACTTTCTCCTCATCCTGATGTGACACATCTGCATCTTATTCTATCCCACACATGTTCCGACCATGAAAGCAGCTGCAGCAGCTCAGGCAAAGGAGCTCGCAGCGACTTTGTGCAACTTTTCCTGGAGTTTGGAGGAGCTGAGATGAGGAACGGAGCCTGAAGATTTTCCACACTGAGCAAGCGAGAGGTAGGAGTCCTTCAGAGTCCCTGCACAGGACCCCTGCATGCAGATTCACACTGAAGGCAGTAAATGTGTAAAGCCTGCAGATACAGCGGGGACAGGTAGAAACCAGCAGCTTCTGCAGGTGAGAATTATTCACCAAAACCGAAAGAGAGCAAAAAAATAAGAAAGTAAAAGGGCTATTCTGCTGTTTTTATCAAGCTTAATGTTGCATTTGTTCTTTATTAACAGTTTCTTGTGTGTTTAAATAGACTTAAAACAATAAAAGGACACAGGAAACTACAGGACAGTGCCCATATCTGCTTTATATAAGTATTCTATATTCTATACAAACTGTATAAAGTGCTCAAACTGGAGTTAATATGATTATGACAACTTTGATAGTCAAATAAATAGTTTGAATGGTTCATTTTCTACAGTTAAAGTGGGGAATGCAGCTTTTATCTGTGGTTTTATTTATGATTAGAAAGGCGGCACTTTATTTACAGGATTTAATGGATGAATGAACTGAACCATGAAGAATGTATTTCTTTCATTTCGTTCCACTGTTAGGAGGATATTTTTGACAAAAGGAGAAATTTAAAGACATAATTTCAATCTTTTGTCATTTGAGATCGTTCCAGTTTCTCCAATGTGAAGATTTTTCTGCTTTTCTTTGTCTCAGGTGACGTAAACTGAATATCTTTGCACTGTTGGACAAAACAAACTATTTCAAGAAGTTACAAACGAGTTTAGGATTATTTTTTTTTTACCATTTTCTGACATTTTATAGATCAAACAATCAATCAACTGATCATTAGTTGCAGCCCAACTCAAAACAAGATTTGACATTGATGAATGGACAGAAAATTAACCAATGACAAGTTTGATAATCAATACAGATACCAAACACAAGGCAGCCTCTCAAATGTGAGAATTTAATTCCACTTTAAACCGAATCATTTGGATTTTTTGACTGTTGGCAATACAGTCCAACAACTTTCCAAAATCAGTTTCTGGTGATTTGAGAAGTACATTTCTCATTATTTTCACATTTAATGTAACTAAATACAACAGTAGACATTTCATGCATAGAAGGAACATCAAGGCAAAGCGGGTAACTGCCTCCAAAGCTTTCAGGGTTACTGTGCGTCATTTTTTTTAAGCTGAGGTTCAAAGTTCATTCTTGACCTGGGAAACGTCACCAAAAGGTTCATTTAGTAGCCGTTCTGGAGCTTTCAGTCCTTCCACATGAGTGCTGGAGTAGAAAGAAGTGAGAGCTGTAAAGACTTCATGTTCACACTTCAGAATGACATCCACTGACATTATACAGGCCTTAATGTACTGAACTATTACCGAAACAATCAGTACATTCATTTATTAATCGATCGGCAGGAAATAAATCTGCAACTGTTTTCATAATTGTCATTTTTCAGGCAAAAACAGAGAACGATCCCCAGTGGTTGTGGATGTTTTTCTGTCTTATGTGATTGTAAATCAATACTTTTTGGAGTTTTGGACAAAACAAACTCTTTGAAGATCTTAATTTGGGTTTAAGTTTTATCTCAAGAAAATCATCGTCAGATAACCTAAAAATGAAAAAAATTAGTTGGAGCCGTCCTTTATTACCTGAGCTTGAGGCCCGATTCATGTGTCAAGAACGAAGAAAGTTTAACACCTTCATTGTTCCAGTTCTGTCTTTACGTGCCACAGAATTCCTAAATGAATGTGTTTAACTGAAGTTCTACACAGCAGCCAGGTAATATATGCTCACAGTGTAGAGAGAGGGGCAGGAACAGGGGGTAAAGAGGGACCCAGCAGCTCCTTTTTACCTTTTTTGGACTGTGGCCATGAGCAAGAGTATGTTAAATGTCTCCAAGGAGGAAATGGTTTAATCTGTTCTGTGAAGATCAACCAGTGGAGTGCTGTTAACAGAAGAGTCTGTCTGTTGCACCGCATTGTGAGTGTATTGATCTTCCCTCATATGGTTTCACTGCAGCATTCACACACACAGTCCTTATACAGCAACTGGTTTTAACCTGTCGCAGTTCATTCAGTGTTTCATTAACATCTGGATTTAATCAATCTATAAAATGTTAAAGAAATTCCCAAAGTTTTTGTCCAAAACTTAAAGATATTCAAACGTACACATTTGAAAAGATGGAACAAGAAATGTTGTTACAGGAATCTTAATCCTAAAGTCAGCGCCGTGTTCAGACTGACTGGGGTGGCATCAAACTTTCCAGTCATACCTAATTTATAATTCCCAGACTGTTTAGGGACCCCAGTATGAAGAAATATTGAAAAAGACCAACTTAAGATTTTCCAAGTCAACTAGTAGTCATAAACATTTTTAACTTTTTACTTGATAAATACACTGAAACAGATCCTGGTGGACTGATCGATACGATGGATAACGTTAACAGTTACTGATACTGATACCTCTGATACTTCTGTCCCAGTTTTGGTTCCCAAACTTTTTTGTTTTGTTTTTCTGCGACTAATGAAAAGTGGGTTGACTAAGACTCTACGATAAATCGACTATTTAGTTGTTGTTTTTTCTTTGGAGCATTATTTAGTCCCCTTCCAACATGCTAGCATTAAATGGTTGCTACCAATGGATGCATTAGATCTACTTTTATATGATATAGCTTTAAAACAGAGCTCACTACAGCCTCTGAAAGACAGCGCGGAGGATAACGCGGTGGCCAATAAGATTTCAGTGCCCCCCTCTGGACACGCCCCTGCTGAAAGTGCCTAATTATAGTTATTTTTGTCTGTAAACTGTATTTAAGTCACCGACACAAACATTCTGGTTTTACCGGGCCTTTCATGAAGCTGCTGTGTGTGTTTGCAGTGGAGACCTCCAGGTGGTCGCCATGTCCCTGTGGATGATCCTTCCTGTCAGCCTGCCTGTCTTCACCATCACAGGAATATGGGTCGTGTAAGTACCTCACAGTAAATAAACGTCATTTTCTGTCTTGTAGGAGTAGCTTCTTCTGTGTGTCATTTGTAAGGCAAACCGTAGCACAAAGCGAGAGTCCAGTCACATACGTTAGCCTGGTTTAGACTGGCTACCTATTATCCCTGCAGAGATCAGGATGACCTCAACCGGCTGTACAAAGTTCATGAATGTAAAACAGTTCCCTTTTTGGGAAGGAGAGAGTAACGATTGTTGTCGGAGGAGAGTCATCCTTGAAATTCCTCTCGGTTTGTCTGCTCTGTTTGTCCTTTTACTCGCAGCGGTCACATCTGTAGCTCCTCACGTCTGACAACAGCAAACAGGGTCACCGCTTTCAGCATCTGTCACAGTCACGAGTCAACAGGTGGTGGGATGGAGCTCCAGAGGGAGGCATTGTAAATGGCATCTGTGGCTGAAGTGTAACAATAATAGTTTAGTTTCTCCTGTTGAGCATTTTTAAAGACTTTCAAAGGAGATAAACATGCAAAGGAATAATTTGACATTTTGCGCCGAGAGTTAGGCGAAAAGATTGATACCTCTCTCATAGACATAGAGCCAGCAGAAGTTAGCTTAGCTTAGCATAAAGACTGGAAACAGAGGGAAACAGCTAGCCTGGCTCTGACTTTATATCTTGTGTTTTTGTACGTGTTTTTGATTTGATTTCTCATATGGTTAAGCCTTAGAGGAACTGAGGTGTAAAAACATCTGCAGCTGCATATGCACATTGACTTTCATCTGTCTCTTAGCAAAAAAGTCACACTAAATCTTACATTATTCCTTTAATCTGAGACTAAAAATATCTTTTAACAATCCATAATTTAAGCAGAGATTTACGTTTATTTATTTTTAAACTGGATCACTCGTGTCGCTAATGTCTATAATAGCTAAGCCGTGATGTAAACAGTTTAGGGTTTATGGTAAATGTTGTTCATTAAAGGCTGATAAAAAACATAAATATTGAATAAAATGAAAACTAAATCAACAACATCTCTACAGCTCAGTGATTAACACGTTATATCTAGTATTTTTTAATCTGAAACCAAAGTGTAAAATCGACATGTTGTGGTTTTAAAGGAAGTTATTTGTTGACTTTTCTGGAGTTTCCAAATTTCCCCAAATGTCAAACTATTCTTTTAATCTTAACTCAGTTTCAGGACTTAAATCCTGAGATATTTCGGCTTCGGCTGCATCTAATGTGACCATTTTTCACATATCTGTCTCTTGTAAGTCCCCCAAACATATGGCAGTGTAATGCTTAATTCTTGCAGCGACCGTTTAATAAAAAATAATGATTAGCTGCAGCCGTAGCTGTGCGCCCCACACTCATTTAACTCCACTGTGGAGGGTAGAAAGGTCAGCAGAGTAAAGATTTAATCAGAAAAACAAACCATTGTGTTGGCCTTCATCAGGAATCAGATAGTAAACTAAATAGTTGTTATTTCAGGTGATTAATTCTAAAGGGAATTCACAGAACTACAAATCAGTAGTTATTGTTAAAGACACTGGAAGAGGAAATCCCTGAGGATGTCTGAGACACCAACTCTCTCTTCTTTAGTTGATTTCTGTGACTGTTTCTTTGTCTCCCTCTTTACTTCCTGTCTCTCCCCGGTGAGAGAGAGATAATTGACACAGTCTCCTTTTGTAAGAAGTCTTTCACACCTTCGTAGAGTTTTTTTCACACCGGGTCTCCAAAGCGTTCCCCGTCAGAGACGAGTCTGTAATTCCCCTCGTTCTGCCAGACCTGTTGTTCTTCAGACACGTTGACACCTGTCCGCTACTGCCTCTGAATGCTCTGCTGAGCAGTTGTATGACCCAGAAACATGCACTGCAGCTGTGGACAGGGATTTCAAAATAAGGGTTTTGAAGTAAATTATTCAATTCAAACACTAATACAAGTGAAGGCAAATCAATTCTTCTGACCTGAGTGTCCTCTTGTTATCAGCGATCAATGGAGTCATTCAAACCTTCACATCTTTAGTTTTTGTTTTATTGATCCCTGTGTGTCTTATCTGTGGCACAGTGTGGCCTGTTCAGTGTTTTGAAAGGGAACTGACAGTGGTTGAAACTCAGTTTTCTTACTAGCACTTGTGTAATGCTAACATGCTGATGTTTTAACAAGTTTAGTGTGTTAGCATGCTAACATTTGCTAATTAGCACTAAACACAAAGTACAGCTACTATTTTATTTCCGTCTTTATTGTATGAAATTTAATTTTGTATTTTATAAACTATAAGACAGTCAATCATTACGATTATAAATTTAAACAATATAGAACGAACAGATACTATATTAGAGACATGAAACTTTTACATAGAGACAATAAATGTATGTTAAACATTTAAAAACAAATAAATCAAGCAGAGTAAAACAAACAAAAGTAAAATAACAACAACAACTTGCATTTAATTAATTTTAGGGGAATTTAACACATAAATCAAAGTATTTACAGTTTGTCTTAAGGGGAAAAATAAAGTTTTTATAAAATTTGATGGCAATCCACCAGAGCCTTTTTACTTAAACCCTTATCATGGTGGCACCAGAAGAAAAGTCACCAGAGTCTTTAGGATCCTCTATGGACCACGAATGTCTCTACAAAACTGTGTGCAAATGCATCCAGTGAATGTTAAGATATTTCCCTTGATAAATGAAAACTTTGACCTGTTGGTGGCACTTGAGGAAAAGTCAGAGGTTCCTCAAAGTCAGTAGGATTAATCCTCTGTGCACCATGAATGGCTGTACAGAATATCACTGAAATCCATCCGATGGTTGTTGAGATATTTCAGTCTGCACTGAAGCTGCTAGCAGAGCTAAAAATCTCCTGTGTCTCCTCTCAGCAAGAGTCTTAAAATATGTGTGTGTGTGTGTGTAATGAATTATCTCAGGCTTGCAGCCAGGTTGTGTGTTTGTGGAGGTGGTTATTGTGTCACTGACAGATTTAAGGGATTAAAAAAGCAACCGCAGCTCGTCTGGCTTCAGGTTGCAGGCAAAATACAGCCGGCAGCCTCTGCGACAAGCACTCAAACACTGTGTTGTACTTTAAAGCCGGGACTGGCATTAATCTCGCTATATGTGACTTTCAAGTGCTAATGAACTGCTGACAGCAATGTTCTGGAAGTGTAGATGTTGTATGAAAGATCAGATCTTATCAAAGTCAGGCTAATCAGAACAATATCTCATGTATTTAATGTTTGCTGTTCAGTTCTTTAACCAAAGATTCTCTGCTTTAACTTTTACAGATACGCGATGGCCCTGTACAATCAGCACGTCTGCCCCGTGAATAACTGGTAACAGCACATATACACACATATACGCACATTTATCAACCAACTGATGTTACTTATTAATGATTTTACATACAAATAAATCATAATCAGAACCCATATTGTTAGAAAAGACCTGAAAATCCTTAAAGTTGTTCTCATCCAGTGGTGAACTAGAAATATTTCATTTATTTCTGAGGAGAAAACTAAATGAAACTTATTATTATTTTTAAAGTTTAGACTGCACTGTCAAACATTTTTTTATGTAAAACTAACCCAGTTTTGTAAGTAAAAAAACATTTTTGATCCCATGGCTCTTTGCTGCATAAAATCCTGACTCCCTTTCTCCCAAGAGATCAGAATTAATCATCATTAGGGCACATTACGGTCTCCGGGGTGAAAGTTTGACCCACCCCTCTTCCCTACACTGACTTTGTGACTCTTTACACACTATACCTTCGTACACACGTATACTTTTCCCATCTAGGTGAGGCAAATGGCCATGACAGTTTGTCAGAGCCAGCGGAGGTGAGGTACTGCGAGTTGAGGTGCTCTCATTGGCTACGCAGTTTCAACTCGTCCGTAGCAGGAAACAATGTCGACTCCCTTGGTCGCACACATTCTCTTAACTTCTACTCTAAACAAACATTATGCTGTATGGAAGAAGACTTGAAACTAGAGATTGAGACCATAAACTCATCGGGAAACTGTTTACTGAGCTCATAAATCAACTGAGAAGTCGGCTCATTTCTCCATAAGACTGAATGGTATCGGTCAATGGTGCTGCCCCCTGCTGGCCGTTACATAGAATGCAGGTTTAAGACACTTCACAGACCCAGAAGCTCTGTCCATTATGGTAAAAACTAGTGTTTCAGGTTGCTTCAAAAGTAGTAACAGCTAAATATCCTCATCTTTGTCCTATTTCACATCACAGCTGATAGCCAGTGTTTTATATTGATTTAAGGTGGAGAAAACAACACAAACAGAGAGAAAAAACAAGCTTTTTCAAAAGTAGTTTGAAGGTTCTCTCTGTTCCTCTTAATGTGCCACAAAACAAAACAAAACTCAGTCACTGATTGTGAATAATTACTCGCAGATGCCCACTGGGGAGAACTGTGAAGGTAAAAACACTTTTACAGCTGGCGTGTTTATGTAGCGTTGATTCAGGAGAAGCTAATTCACAAAGAGCTTATTTAACACGAGGAATCTTTTCTCGACCGACATCGCCGAGGCTCCGCTCCCCACTCCCTGTGAGCCTTTACTCAAACATTAGAGGCTTTAGACGGAGAGAGAGTGGAGAAGATAAAGATAGGGAGTGGACATAAAATAAAGTAACACGTCACAGTCCGTTCCTTTTCCGAGGACGTCAGATAGATGCCTCTGTATCCTACACACTGGTCCTTTAAAGGAGTAGTTGGTGACTTTAGGTTATTGATCCAGTTTCAGACTTATTGACTGTTACTGTTGTTTTCAGTGTAATAACAGGATCCAAACAGCTCTCATATAATGAAACATGGACCCCATATTGTCATTCTTTTCATGCATTTCTAGAAAAGGCAAGAAGCTGTTAGTTTTATTTTTCTAAATCTGTGTTAAAATTGAGCTCAAGGTTATTTTTATTGTCTCCCGTAAGAGGAAATTGCTGGATAAAAGAACTAAATAAAATCACGCTTGCAAATGTGCAATCAAACTAAAAACACACTGTTCAATAGATAAGAGATTATATTCATGTTAATGTTTGATTCATAAACACGTTCATTACAAAGGTTTCAGCTTTGTTGATGGCAGTAATGTAGAAAAAAATAAAAAAACCCGGATACGTCCATTTAACTGTTCTTTAAGAGACATTTCACCTAAAAATATTTCAGGTTAATTTTCTACAGTCGTTTGCGTAGATCTTGACACTTGATGCTCAACCATTAACCGAGCTTGAACACACTTGCTTACTTTAGATTTATTATGCACCATTGAGGCAGCTCTTAGGGGGTGAAGTAAAAAGTTCACCTGAAATTATTTAGTTGAACTTTGAACTACTTTCAGATGAGTTTCAGTCCTCATTTGACACCTTTGAACCTCTTTTACTTTTAAATGTTTTTATCCTTCAGTACCTGCAGACTCACATGTGTGTGTGTGTGTGTGTGTGTTTACAGGCTTTATAACGCATCGTGTGAGGAGCAGCTTCCATTACAGAGGGGTCCTGTTCTGTGCTGCACCCTGGACAACATACCACTCATCAGGTCAGTGGTTCTGCAGGTATTCCAGGAGCATCTGAGTCTTTTTAAGTAAAACCGCTGCTGGCTCAAACTCCTGTTACATAATTATCACAGTTGTCTGGATCCTGAACCAAACAATTGCTTCCATCGGTGCGGTTTCTGGAGACCAGTTTGGTAAATCAGCAACAAGACTGGCTGCAGAGCCTCTATTGAGTGATGTGAAAGAGCAGCTGCCCTGCTGCAGTCTGTGGTTTCCACCAATTCTCTCCAAAGGCTGGTTCTGTTCTTTGTGAACAATAAAAAGTCGCTTTATTTCTGCTCCTTTTTTAAAATTCCCTTTTGTTGAACACTGAACCCAAACTTGGCACATAGTACAGCCTGTGATTGGTGGGAAAACTTTGTCCCAGACTGGTGCGATTCGTGCAGAATTTGCTCTGTAATAAAGTTAAATTATGTATTTGTGGATGCAGTGATGGTAAAATAAGTTCCATCAGTAATTCAGCCTGAGAGAGACCAGAAGACTCTCCTCTTCTTCACTATTATCACAGTTTAAATCTCCACCGTTGCCACTCGTGCACCAGCTGCTGAATATTGCACCAGCATTGTGGCTTTTTCTTTAAATGTGATGTCTGAACTTTTGCACACGTCAAAGTAAAACAACCTCCAGTTAAATAAGGCGACAGCGTTTTGTGACTTCTATAACTGTTTCATGGAAGTTGTCGTTGATAATAATGGATTTGATTTGATGCATCAATGTTTAAATATTCTGCACGTTACTTAGCATTAGCACCTAAATTTAGCTAAAATTAAATCTTGAGAACTTGTGCGAGTGGTCCTACTCTTAAAATAAGGACAATAATTTTGTTCCTCTGCTGGGATATTATGCAAACCGTTGTTGTTACTGGTTAAATTGAGCTCAATATTAGCTGTAATGTCTTATTAAGACAAAGTTTGATATATTGTCTTAAAACCAGATTACTTCTCTAATGCAGAACATGCTTTACAAAAATAATTTTTCTTTTTAGACACATAATAAGACTCAATTCCCAGACAGTTTTTTATTTTCTTGAGATTCCTCTGTTGCAGTGCTCGTGTAACGTTATGTCAATAAGCATCATATGCAAATGTGAACTAAGGCTTATGTTATTATTATCATTATGTTATTGTGGAGTATTTGAGTTCATATGTTTTAATACTGAGTTTTAAAGCGGCGTTCGTGTGTGTGGCTGTATCCTGAATGATCAGACAGACAGAAAACAGACTGCACAGTCTGAGTTGTCTTTGGTAGAAGTTGAGCAGCTGCAGTGCAGACTTTGCTGCAAGATAAGTCCACACTTGCCCGACTGAGGCTCGCTGTCGGAGCGGGGTCGACCTCATCACCCCCACAGGAAGAAGAGCTTTGGTTGCGTGTAGTGGATCCTTCGCCGCTCTCTTTGAAATGTCGCCACACTGAGCTGCGAAATGTAAACAAGAAATGCTCCCCCCCCAACACTCGCAACAAACACACACTGATATGAACAAGGGGTTTATGTTGCTGTGGATGCAAAGATGACTCCAGCTCGAATAAAGTTTTAGTTTCAGGACATTTTAAAGAAGATAAAGATCTTTGTGTCAGTTCATCCTCAACCTCCCAGTTGGTTGTTTTCCATTTATAGACACTCGTTTCTCTGCTGAACAGCTTTCCAAAGAAAAAACTGACTGACTATTTTTAAGGAATTCCTGCCTGCAGCACATTAAAACAGGACCTGGAGGGGGGTCGTGTTCTGATGTGAACTTGATTGAACTTGCACTTTAGCCCACTTAGTCTGGAGGCCGAGCCCGCACTAACCTCCCCCCTCTTCCTCTTCCTCTTCTCTGTTTTCATTGCAGTAAATGTGGAACGCTCCCACCTGAAAGCTGCTTCTTTAGCCTCATATGCAGCACCGGATCCTTCATGGGTGAGTATGAGTACTAGTAGTATTCAGTTTTAGAAACACATGAGAGCGTAGCTGTAGTACGCATTTTACCCACCATGCTCTTGGGTTGAACGAGGCTCTGTGCACTCAGGCTTGTTTTCTCAGCTGTACTGACTCCAGCCAAGTCTCTGTTCCCCAGAATGCACTGCCAGGTCCTGCCCCCCCCCCCCCCCCCCCCCCCCCCCACACACACACACTCTCTGAAGGGAAAATGTACTTGATGCTATGAATGGTCCATTTTTATGACTTTTGAATTCGCCCTCTGACCATGAGGGCAACTATTCTACTACTTTAAATCTTCTATTTTGGGTGGTTTACTCTGGGTTCATTGCCCAGTGTGCTCTGTGGTGTGTATTGATTGATTGATCTTTGATCGGTTACTTGCAGTTGAAACATGTGGTCACTCTGTGGCAGGAGGCGCTGAATAGAAGCTTTTATTGCAGTTAATAGTGTACAGCAATCATCAAGAATATATATTTGCCTCGCCTAGACATGAAAATACACTCTTGTATGAAGGTGGGTCAGTGATCTTTGCAGCCAACAGATTTTTGTTTTAAAATGAGAGTACCAAAATCCATTTAGGGAATAAAACAGGTGGTGTTTTTGTGGCGTTTCCTGATTTTTATCTCTGGCTCTGTCTGACGTCGCAGTATCCCACAAGCAAACTGCCAAACTCAAATGCATATAATTACGTTGCAGTAAATGGTTAAACCTTGATGTGAGTGTCCTGCCTGAAGCTGCATAGTTTTACTTTCTTCACTTGCTGTGACCTCTCACCTGGTTCTTAAAGAAAATGCTGGAATTTGGACGCTTAACGAGCCCATTAACCTGTCTCAGTTCAGGTTATTTTTCCTGTGGCTGCTGAATGTCTTCCAATAACACCCACTGAGTGTACTGCTGCTCTTCATGACTTCTCACAACCAAGACGCAGACCAAGATTTAGCATTAAAAATGAGTAAAATAGGTAAAAAACACTCAGGAATCTAAAATCTGTCTGTTCCTGCAGTTCACACCTCATATTTCTGGAAGGTAATTTGACAGGTGGGTTGTTGTCCACATTATCCAGCAATCTGTCAAGATGGTCACATTTTTGATCGGTGTACAGCAGCTTAAACAGTGATGTCATCGACTGCTGGGAGACCCACAGAGGTCAAAGGTCAGGTCAAACAGTACAGGACAAAGTCAAGTTTGGTTAAAATATAAAAAGTAGAGCTTCAACTAACAGTTACTTTCATTAACATTATTTCCTAAAAAGTCAGTCAAATAAATGTGTGAAAACACCTGTTGTTATTCCAAGTTAAGTCTTCATATTGCACGATTCCACATAAAAGAAGTTCCTTTAAGGATGTGTCTCGGTAGTGAAACAAACTGGAGATACAGCGAAACATAGAGAGCTTTAAAAACATGGAAAATTGGATGGCCAGAGCAACTTACGTATATTACAAACACAAGACTTCTGCATGTCACTAAAGACTTTGCTGCACGATACGGTAAAAACATCTGGAGAACAACATTTGTAGCTCAGAGAATCTCTGCAGGATTACAGTCCTTCATTATGATGCTGTTTGACCTTTTATCAAAACAAATTGCAGCTTCTGCGATTTGCATAATGTGATTCCTATGATATTTCGATTGATTATGCAACCCTTGTTTCCACCCAGTTTTAGCAACAACAGCTCAGAGAACGTCCCCTTTAGTGTCTAAAACTGAAATATATTCAGTTTACTGTATGTGACAAAGGAAAGCAGGGATGATACAAAAACACAATAATCTGCTCAAAATTCATCCAAATTGCTCGTTTTAAACAAACTTCCTGCAGTTATTGTGTTCACTGTTTGGGTTCATTGTAAAGTTTATCAGCTCTTCTGTTATTGTTATACACTGAATATAATATGAATATGGGTGAGGGGTCCTCAGTTTACTCAGTGGTAGAAATGGTGGTCCCTTTAGGAAAGAGACTGTGGTTTGGACACAAGCTCAGACTCCCTAACATCAAAAGCTTTACTGTGCTCTCATAAACAATACTCAGTTTATGTCTGTGAGGCACTTTGTTTAACTCGAAGGTGTGGTGTGAGAGGAGAGGATCAGAAAGTCCTCGCTGTGTGGCAGCCAGTGAAACACACAGATAACCCACAATCCCTTTAACTCTGCACACACTCGCTGGATCATCAAAAACTGACCGCCGCGTTCACTGCTGGACTGACCGCCGCTGTCTGTTGTTTGTAGCGTGATGAGCACCAGATGTGAACGGCGGCGTAAAACTGCTGTGAAGCTTTGATGCAGCAGGTTAATAAACATACGTGAGGAATCTGCAGCATCATCTCTTTACGTTTCAGACGCAGCGCCGGGATCTTGCCGCTCCTTTGATGCTGCACCAGCGTCCCGTTCAGTGTGTTAGACATAAAGTTACAGCAGGTCCCTAACTTATACAGAAATATAACAAACTCTGCAGGAGAGGTGAGAAGCTGAAGTCTGTATGAAGACTCTTCCTATAAATCTACAGGATTATAAAATGAGATACAAATCATAAAGTCAATGCAACTAGGAAACACACAGACAGAAAAACACATGAAAGCAAGTAAATAAAACATCTTCAATCAGTTTGACAAACACACATGCAGCAAAACTGAAAACACAAACAAATAATATAATCAGGATTTCATAGTTTAGTTTAATTTCTTTTTTAATAACAGTAATAATATATATACATTTATATCAGTGGTTCCCAACCTGCAGGTCACAAACTTAACAAATATTTATCTCAGTATTTGGTTCATTTCTGTTAAGAAAAGTAAATGCAAAGTAAATTGTCTAACAAGAAAACAAGAACGGAGACACTGAATTTGTCACAAAAGAAGCCTATTAAGTCTGTGTGATTGTTAAAAAATGATAAAAATCTATAATACAGACAAAGAATTGTATAAAAAGTTCCCTAAACAGGAAGTAATCTGCTCAAAATTCATCCAAATCTCTGGTTTTACACAAACTTCCTGCAGTTACTGAGTTCACTGTTTGGGTTGATTGTACAGTTTTTAATATAAAATGAAATATCTATAAAATATATGTCACAAAGTCAGATTACTAAATGACAGCAAAAGTGTGGAGGGACAGAAGGAGGATATTGAAGAGAGACCCTTTGTATCCAACAATAAACACTATAGTTGGGAAATAAAAGTTTTAGTTTGTGTCTGGATGCAGATCGGCATCGTGGGGTTGTTTTTCTTTTTATAATGTGAAATACAGTTTGTATAGTGGACACTGGACCTGGGCGTGTTTATGATGACATCTTCCTCTCTCTCTCAGTGATGCTGATCGGCCTGCTGCGTTACGCTCATGTGATAGAGAAGCACCAGAACTGCATCCTCAACACGGCCGGCCTCTCCACCGCGTGGATCTGTGCCGCCGGTCTCATCATGGTGGGAAACTTCCAGGTAATCGCACTCCGATCAGACTCATTGATCAGGGCCAGAATTGGTTTAGGTAGCTATATGTTTACACAGAGACGCAGTTACAGTACGTGGGTGTTTAGTACCTCACCTACATAGCAAGCAGGGTTTTAGAAATACAGAGGTCCAAAAACTGAACTTGCAAGGGAGGTAAAAAGTAAAGCAAAAGTTATTTTCAGGCAATTATTTCACAACTTTTATTGTGTAATCCTCTGCAAAAGATACCGCTGTGAGAAGAAGTAAGGGTACTCGTCACTTTAGAGCTTTAGGACTTTGTCTTAATAACGATTATCAACTGACACACGTGACACAACAATGACAGCACAAATGTGTTGTCAGATTGACCTTCACTCTCCCTGTCTGTAATCAATCACTTTGTCAATTGATCCTGATTATGTCAATCAGGAGTGATCACAGTGAACGTGATAGCAACACATTGTTCACTCTTCAGGTTCCTGTTAGAATGGATCATAGTCACATTGATGTTAAAGCCTGTTGATGGAGACATTTGTGGGTTTTTAGTGAAATAATAATTAGGGATGTTGCTTCCCTCGCTAGTCAACACCAAAGTTAGTAAAATAAAGTAATTTATGACCCTTTGGAGTCAGTTAAATCAAGAGCTTTCATGGGTTTATCTGTATGTGTTCAGTCAGTTTTATTTACCCATTAGAAATCATCCTCTGCAGAGCCGGACTATTCATTAGAAATGAACGACTTTCAAATGAGGAAGTGATGAAATATCAGTAAATCACTGTTTTAGTCTGCGGTACAGAGAGTTCATGTAGCAGCAGGTAACAGGAGGAGATGCAGGAACTATTTAACTGTTTAACTTGTGTGTTTTTACCATCGGTCAGATCTTAAAATCTCTGACCTGCAGCACAGAGTGAATCTCAGAGTATCTGTGTGTTAGTTAAAGAGAAGGTCTGAGCTGTTTATGTTACATAGAGGCCACAGAGACCCTCTGCTTTCAGTTGCCATGGCACTGACCCATAAATCCTGTAAAGTCTTATCTAAGCAGCGAGGTCTGAACAGTGTATAGAGGCTCTGTGTAAGAATAAAAGGATTAAAATGAGAATAAAACAATATTTGAAACTTGTAATGATTCTAAAAGTTGGATTGGGTTTTTTATTAAAAATTTATATTTACAAAAAGCTCCCACTGACTGTAATTAGACTACACCTGGATGCTCTACAGAAAAGATCAAACGTAATTGTGATCCACAATAGCCGGAGGCGGTGAAAATCGCTAACAGTGAGATAGCAATCTCTCTCTGCAGATGAATACCGCTTGGAAATTATGTAACTTTCAGAACATGCAGCCCTGCAGGGAGAGGAGATTTATTTATTCATCCATTTGATTGTTTTTATTAAATCGATCCTGAATTTATTGTTTGAGCTTTTGTATTGTGTGCTGCAGCTTTAAAAAGTACACAACCACATTTTATTTTGCCACCTTCTATTTGAGACATTTTAGTTCAACTTTTCCCAACTTTCTCTGCATTTTTTACATATAAACACATATATATAAACTCTCCCAAAGCAAAGAAGATATTTTTTATGTGCATGAAGTCATCCCAATGTAAAGTCTTTGAAATGAGCAGGAAAACACTAATGCACATTTACTCCTATAGCAGCATCCATAAAATATGATCCCATTTCACCCAAATCAGTGACATTGTTGGTGGTGTGTGACTTTGTTAAGCACTTATCCAAAGCATTGATGGTTTATATAATGGACAGTGTCTTAAACCTGCAGTCTATGTAACGTCCAGCAGGGGGCAGCTCTGATACCATTCAGTCTTATGGAGAAATCGGGGGGAGAGAATTGACCGAGCTTCATCAGATTGATTTATGCAGCCTCCAGTAAAACAGTTCCTGAGTGAGTCTTCTGGTCTTCAATCTACTACGCTTTCCCAGTCTTCTTCCACTACAGCATCGATCGTTCATTTAGTAACTGATGGCTCCCATTCTAGGAAGTAAACCAACAGACATACAAGGCCAGGGGCGTATGCCTTTAGGGCGGGCTACCTTGTGATTGAATACGCTCCATTCTCAGTGAGCGTAACACGCCTCAACCGCACCAACTCAAGCTAGATCCACTGTCAAACAGTGCTCGAATCAGATAACTGGCCCTCGCAGATTCTGTTACGGCGCGGCCGCGTGGCACGCAGGACAGAGTTTCCTGTCCTCCCTCTACCCTGTGTATCTTTAAGCGTAGACAAAGTTATCATAACGTTTCTTTAGGAAGGTCTTTTTAACATTTGTACACGTCCACAGCTCAAGGTTATATCACATCACTCTGGCAACTAGCTGGGTTACGTCCAGCCGTCTCAGAGGCTGAATCTGAATCGATGTCATCTCTGATGCCTCTGCTGGTGGCAGCTTCCGCTGTTGTCTTGCCTCGTCTGATTTGCTGCTCCCCTAGACAGCCTCCTTCAAACTTCTGTAGACCTATCCAACGCAAACTTCTTTTGACTGTACCGTGTTTGTCTTGATCTGGAGCCTTGTCTCGCAGCTCCTCTGTGGTAGCGTGATACTTACAAAAACAAGACGTTTCTGGTGCGTATCCGCCTGCGTCCGCTGTTCCTGCCCTCTGTGCAGCTCGGTTTACAGGCCGTGC